TACTATTAATTCAAATGATTTTAACAAGAATTATAGTACATCATACATATTAGATAGTGGTTGTTTACGTATTCGTTCTAGTTCACATTTATTATCGACTCATTTATGTATGACTAATTCTCTCACTAAAGAATCATTATCAGATAATATTAGAGGTTGTTCCAGTTATCCATTATATACTCAAGAGAATATCGATATATGTCCAGACTCATGGTTCGATATAAACACAGATTGTTATCAAATATCAGATAGACGTAAAACAATTCAAGAAACAAGAAATAACTGTGGTGGTTTTCTAGAAATACCGAATGGGTATCCAGAAATACTGAAGAAATTAATCAATTTTTTTAGTCGTGAAGATAATGATTCACTGATGAAAGGAATGTTTCAAAAAATAAATGCTGGAATCGATATATTTCATGATGAAGTTGTACAGTACACATCAAAATGGCAAGTTCGTCTTGGCTTTTTTATTCTTGATACAAGTAAATATTTATATAAGTCTTCTTGATTTTTTTCTAGCTAGTTATTTATAACTATTTAAATCTTATTGCTTGACTTGAGAAATAGGTTAGAACTAAGGAAAGACATATATCCAAGGAAGAAATAGCAGACTTGAAGTAGCTCGAAGTACTACCCAAGTAGCCCAAAGTAGGAACAAGTAGCTCAAAGTAACTTTAAGTCCAAAAGTCTGCTGTTTCCCTCTTGCAAATATCACACAAAATATGTAAATGATTTAGTTCGATCTGTATATTGCAAATCTGCTCTCACAACTGTCAGTTTGATACATTGCTATCAAAGATATCAATATACGTTGCGTTGCCATTTCATTAAGAGAGCTATATATGTTAGAATTTTTCATAATTGCTCACTGCTTTTAGTTATATCAGCAGTATTTTTTCAGTAGTTATTATTGTCACTACTTTAAACAAGTTTGGATCGAATAGTCTAGGAATCATTTCAGTTTTATTTATGTTTTTCGCGTTTACTTTCAAATATACACCTTCTTTTGAGCGCGAAACGAACATTTCGATTGTTTTCTATGAACACTTGTAATTTTTTGAATAAGAAAACAAAGAGAAAAGTTAAGTTTCGAAAGGATAAGGGACTTTTCTAGTAAAAAAAACAAACATAGATACATTTTCTACATTAAAATGAAAAAAGACATGATCTAAAAATTATAAATAACAGTACAAAGATATTAACTCTTTCCAGCCGGCTACCGAAAGACAAGTAGCAAAAAAAATCTTTTCAAGCATGTTGTTTTTTACTTCACCACGAGCATGACGAAAGTGCATTTATTGGAAGCAAAATTATAGTTCTGTGTTTGAAAGCATTATGGTGCCATTTGGCAATAGATGGCCGAAAGAGGTCAAAAATTTTAAAAATTTAGATTTTTTTAACATCATAACATGTATAGCTTTGCATTTTCGTTTTGGTTCATATCTCAGCTAGAGCCTAAACCTAATCTACTTGCTCAGATATCGAAAACCTAGGATCAAATATTCTTGAAATACTCTATAATTTACTGGAATGATCTAATATCAGCGATATTCATTCAGGGAAGCTCTCAGAATTTCGGAATGTTTCAAACGATTTTTGGCTTTTTAGAAACAGTTTAGTTCGAAATAATTTTCGTCATGTTGAAATTTTCGTAAATTATCTAGAATTCTGAGAACTTTTCTTGAAGGATATCACTAACCTTACACTTTTTCAGTAAATTATACAATATTTGACGAATATATCGCCCTAGGGTTTTGATAGCCGAGCAATTAGAACAGCTTTGAACTGTTACTGAAGTATGGATAAAACAAAAGAACACAAAACTTCACACGTTGCTATATTAAAAACAATTTAAGTTTTTTTTTGAAAATTTTTGACCCCTTTCGGCTGGCTTTTGCCAAATGGCAACATTGGTAACTTCTATTTTGAAACCCACACCTTTTATGGAATGTATAGAAGTTCTATAAGAGAAAATTAACTGCTAGTTACATTAAATACTGACTGTTCAGATATACGGAAAATCACTTTTACAACTCAGATAATTTTCTAAGATTTTTCTTAGGTATTCTGTTGTTATCTTCAGGATAACATTTCTTATTCAATTTAATTCACCAATAAGCATAGAAATCTACAGTTGTAATTATCAAATAGTCAAAACATAATAGATCAGAACTTCAAGTAGTAGCTACCCGAAATACTGACTCAATGTTGTCCAATGGCAACATCCGTTCGGAAAGGATTAAGTAACATGCAAAATTCGACACGAGTAAGAATATATTGTTGATGACTTTTGTTTCTAACAAAAATGATTGTTTATAGATGCATCAAATGCTGAATCAATATTCTCACGTACAGAAGAATCTCAAAAATTAGTTTCTGATATTGATGTCAATGTATCATCTATAAATGAATTTCAAATGATTAATTCAAATTATGATAATAACTCAACCACCAAAGATAATTCATGCTTAATTTTTGAACGTTCAATTACCGATGAAAAGCAAACATATTTTACTTTAAAAACAAATCAAATTAGTATTTGTTCGAAACCAAAACATATTCTATGTAAAATGAAGTTACCTTTTGATTTTATCACTCAAGATATTTGTTATCGAAAGCCACTAACACTTGGTTTACCTGTTATAATATCTAACTATTTAACAATTGAATTATGTTTATCTGTTTGTGGCGTATTACAAAAACACTTGGCTATTATTAATATGAATAAATGTTATTGTATGGATAATACTAAGGGAAACATTATTGGTGACATCACCATTGGCGCAAACTATAAAACTAAAAATTGTGGAAATCCTTGTCCAGGTATGTTTGATAGACGAATATCGATGTTTTTACATTTCAATACTTTATTAGTGAGTAAAAGATTTCAAATTGTTTTACAACAACAATTATAAACACGGAAATTTTTCTGAAAATGACCTCACTAGTATAATATGACAGAAGATTTCCAAATGTCGACAAAAAGATTTTTACTAATAGAACGTTCATTTAATTAGCAAAAGTACAATGAATCTTCACTAGTGACGACTGATTTCGCAGCATTCCATTTCTTTACATTTTTAAATATAATTTTGTCCGGAGAAAAATAGAACGAATAAACGAAAATTGATCGATGCAAAAAAATGGTTGAAATATATAAATGAAAAATAAAATAAAACGAATCAGCCAAAGCATTACAAGAAGAAAATGGAAAACGCCATTGGTAAAAATGTCCATCTCAGTGCAATGAATTTGTTTTTCTAGTACATACAGCACATGAACTAGAATTCCTTTTTAAGATTAAAATTGCTGAATTCATGAGTTTTCATGAAATTGTATCGAAATTAATCCTGATAGAGCTGTGGAACTATGAAGGAAGCTTTTTGAGAGTGTGATGTGATTGTCTAAGTTGATAAGAATGCAGATTTGAGAGTTAGAGCTAATGTAAATAGTTGTACGTAATGTGATTCACGAGAATTCATCCCAACATTCGTACCTTTTTTGTTATTTTCATGTTTTCTTCTGTTTGAAACCAATTGTTCTGGGAAAAGATTGGAATTCACTTTGTTTGTACAAAGTGTACTACAACAAATATATTCAAAGTACCAACGACAGATTATATACTATTATTGATTTATTTTTTTACTGTTGTCACTCTTATTGACAGATTCTTTATTCTTCTTTCTAATTAAGACCTTTTCTATTATTTTTTCGCATCGATCAATTTTTGCGGACCCTGGAAATTCGCTTTACTCTCTTAAACATATCGTATGATTTTTGCGGATACGGAAATGAGTGTCTATCACGCATACGAAACAATGTATCGATGGTGATATATGAAGTCGTCATAATTAGTGGTGAAAGCGTTTAGTTTTAAAATGCAATCTGATGCAGAGATCTAGCATCCAATAATACAAATAATGAAATATGATCTGTTTTAGATAATTTAGGAGGAAATCTAGTGACTTTAACTAAATATGTGAAAGCAAATCATCAAAAACCCAGTATAACGTTCCTCCCATCTCTAATCGTCAAAGTTAAGATCAAATTCAAAATGTATAAGACTGCTTAGAGATTAATAGTGACATTAGATTCATTCAATATTATAAGTTATCGGAAAGAGAAAAGCATGAATATAATTTCATGCATATCATTCTTACTGATTCTATCAGTGATAAAGAAGGCTTGAGTAAATATAATTCTATCGATCGAACTTAGATTAACTAAATAAATCAAATTGAATACATGTTTTGATCTTTAAATGTTTTTTTATTTAAGAAAATGAAAGAACTTTTAATCAATCCTAAGTAGTAGATATTTAGAACAGACTTATTTACCGATTTATAAAATAGCTCATTATAATATAAGTATTATCCATGCAATAATCTATATCTGATCGACAATTAGTTATACTATACAAAATCTATCATTTGAAAGCTGATTCGTTCTGTTAATTCGAATTTATGCTTATATGTCACCAAGCAAATGAGTTTTCACTCTCACATAGTTATGTATAATTTTTAGGAAATAAGAATCAACGTTGTGGTGATACAGATACAGTCGTTGTCCTTAATGTGCGTAAGAATCAAAATATGTTGCAAACAAGCAGCGAGTATCATACATTTGGACTAAATTCTGATATCGTTTACAAAAATTGCGCACACTTCAACTTTGAAAATTCATCAGAAATATATCAATTCAATTTTCTTCATGAACAAGATGTTCATCCACATTATTGTGTACAATTGTGCGCTAAATATCAACAACAATATGCTCTACTTAATTCAAATAAATGTTTATGTACAAATATCCAAATTAAAGGAGAACTAAAAGAAAATTATCGATTTCTACTATTTGATTCTCCTTGTAATCAACATTGTTTAGGTAATTACTTTTATTCATGTGGACGCAATAGCAATTCAACAATCTATTCAGTGTATACTAGACGCTCAGATTGCCCACATGGTAAGAAAAAGTATGAATAGTTTTCAATCAAATAGAAAAAAAATTTTTATTACATTAGATTTTCAAGCTATTGGCGATAAAGGACGGTGTGTTCATCTTGGTCTTTCAGCAAGAAAAAGTTCTTACACAACAGCACAATCTTATTGTAAATCTATGGATGGAATACTAGCAAAAATAGATGACATTGTAGAAATTCAAGATCTTCTGCCTAAATCTATAATAACACAAAGTTATTTTGATAAATATGCATTTTCCTACTCTGGAAGAGAACCTAATATGCTTATACATTTTTGGATTGATCGGATATTAGATAGGTTAAATGATAGTAAGATATCCGATCGTTTCATTAGTAAATGTTTTAAAACATCAAAATCAATTGATCACAATTGTATTGCTCTTGATCATGAAGAAGTTTTAATTGACGATACGGTTGCTGTTATACAATGTTTTTCTGAATCAGATCAATGTTCGTCAACATCTGCAATACCTGTTTGTGTTGACAAAAATTTAGAATCTCATTCAAATGCAATACCTTCTATGGAAGATAGTGATTCATCAATCATAAAAATGAATACATTCACAGATTATTTATGTAGTAATGATACAGATTATCATTTAATTGATGATTATTGTTATAAAATATTATTACATGAAACAACTTGGCATAAAGCAAAAACTGAATGTGAACGTGATAATGCTACGCTATTTTTACCCAAGAAAAATAAAGTGGTCTCTTTAGTAAAGCAATTATTTTTACGTCGATATAGTTACACATCATCTGATATTGCACATATTGATGTACTTTATGATGATCAAAACTTTACTACTACACAAAATATCACCAGTAATACAAGTACTTCGAAATCTGTATTTAATCTCGATAACATTTACAGTTCATGCAAAATGTCATTCGTTGAAAATTTTCCCATTTTATTGTCATTACTAAATCGAACAGAGAAAGTTATAGATAAGCGCAAGACTCATCAAACTGCTTGTGGATACATTAATTTTCGATCGTACAATTCACAGTGGATTTCATGTAATCAAGAATCTTGCAATCGACCAGCGACTATAATATGTCAAAAATCACCGACTATAACAACTCATGTTATTTTAGCAAAAAGGTTAGTGATAATCAGTATTGGCATTCTTCCTTTCAGATTATACTATCTGCAAAAATACGTTAAAAAAACTATACAAAAGAAAACAATTATTATAGTATTTTAATGATTATGTTATATAACGTTTTCGGTATTCGTAGAAAAGTTAATTTACCGGCAAATATTATCTAATATGATTATAAAACGTTTCATAGATTAGTAATGGTCAGAATGAAATGTAGTTCAGGAAAATAAAAGTTCACTCATTTCTATTCGATGACTATAACATTTTCTATACAGGTCTCACAACATCAGATTGAGTAAAATCGATAGCCTAGCTGACTATTTCTGTATGTCTCGATATTCTAATTCTAACCTGTTAAATTTGTATAACAGTAGCAGGATATAAATATAAAAAATAATATTGCTCTTATCGATTAATAAATTACATGATTGAGAAATTTTCGAGTTCGTCTGCTATATAAGAATGTATATTGTGTGTATTTAAACATCGATTATTGAATTCATTTATTTATAGTGATTCGAAAAATATACCAATAAAATTGACTCAAGAAGAATCAAATGCTCAAACATTTATTAGCAAACGTTCTACATAGACTATTTTGATATTTTCAATTGTATTGGCTATTATGTTTATTAGATTTATTTATGCATTACAAAATTGTTAACTAAATCGGAAAATTAATCAAAATCAAATACTGTTTATTCTTCACTATCATTGAAAAACGAATGTAATTTAAATTAGAAACACTATTTGTATTTCTTATTCATATTATTGTTTCATTAAAATTTTTCATTATAATTGAAATGTCTTTTCTTTCAATTTGTAAATACATCAAATGGATTACATGAATTTCGGCCCGGGCCGAAATTCCGGTGATTTTACGGTCCTGGCCGAAAGTCTGAAAGGAATTTCGGGCCGAAACTTGATTTATCTAATTAATTTTATAAATAATTAGTAAACATCATGGCGCTCAGCTCTATGCACTTTCAAGAAAACGTTGCGCTCGGCAGTATGACATGTTGCTCAGCAGGATAACATAGTACTCAGCAGTATGACATTATGCTTGACAGTATGACGTAGTATCTAGCTAGACAATCTAGTACCTAACACTATGCATATCGATAAAAAATTGGCAGATCGAATATTGATCGAAACATATGTTAACTATTCTGTTGTGGAAACTGACGCAATATTTAAGAAATGGGTATAGAACTCAGCAAGACGAATTTAGATGACATGATAATTGTAACGTTCGGCTATACCTGTGTATTCCTTCGTCTATTTTACTTAGGAGATAAATCACATCTTTGATATTGAATGAAATACATGTTTAGACAGTGATCACATTTAGTCACACTCGATCGAATAGATGCTTTCATTCTTTTGTGGTATCGATCAGAGATGAAAACGGTCCGAGTTTTTGATGACCGGTATCAATCGGTCAATTCATTCTTGTTTCTTTGTCATTCCCACTATTTATATCTTCTCTTTAAATAATTATCGAAAACGGCTGCCTCATCTCTAACAGAAGGGAGTGAAAACTGCTAAATATCATTTTGTACTGCTAAGCACCATATTATCTTGCTGAGCCCTATGTCGCACTGCCAACCACCATCTCATACTGCAGAGCACTATATTATACTGTCGAACACTATGTCACACCGCTAAGCACAACGTTTTACTGCAGGTGCATAGCGCTGAGCACCATGAAGTTTATTGGGTGGATGTGGGTGTGGGTCGGATGTGGTGTGGGGTGTGGGTGTTATGTGCGGGTGTAGTTCTTCTCTTTAATCATACCCACACCCACAGATCCACACCGACGCTCACACCCACACACCTACAACTTCGTAACATACTTCCAAGAACTTGAGAAAAAGTATAGTGTCATATTATTGGAATGAATATAAAACTTTTACACATATTCTTCTGTTTCGATTCCAAAATAGTTAAAAATATTTTTCATAGTAGATCTTTCTCATATATCAATACTGGTTATCGTACTCAAAGTATATATGAACTTATTTCTTCTCATAAAAGAATGTCGATATAATATTATCTTTGTAATAAAAACGAGTGCAAAATTTCAGTTGACATTAGTGAAGATGGCATGACAGTTGAAGAAAACTCGAACTAATCCTTCAACTCTTCTTCGAACTTACCAAAAAAATCATTTCTTTATGCTACCAAAGAATTGATAATTTGAAGCCAGAAATGGTCTTGCTGTAGTAGGACTCATGAAGCTCTACGCTCATTCTGAACTAAAATACTGTTGTCATCATAGGAAAATTAACAGATTTATATGGTGCAAAATATTATTCAAAGCGGATGAACCTAATAAGTTTAAAAGATGAGTTTTGAGAATACTGTAAAAATCAAAGACCGAGAAAAGGAAAATAGAATTGAACTGTTCATTGTATGACTTAAGTTCCAAAGAAACAGTTACTCTTTGATAGAGAAATATTAATTATACTCACTTGGAGGACAATAGCCAGAATGTAATTCTGAACAGACACGTAATTCAATATCGACAATAGCTAAATCATTTCCTTTCACACCAGCAGTGTTTGACATCATCAATAGTATGACGGAACTACTGTTTGGTATAAAAGAAACATTATATTTTGACCAAGTCATATTGTCGTAATCAAGTATATCGCCTGTGCTTTTATTCGCAATAATGTAACAATTTTCTTTCACTGCTCAAACTTCAAAGCGAATGTTCGGCTTAGGTTCATTACATCTCTGCTGGGCAATATTTGCCAAGTGAGCAGTAAATTCATATCGAAAACCAATGCAAAGATTACTAATTTTATATTTGAAAATGTAAACAGTAGAATTTCTAATATTGACAAGAAACATGTATCTGTTGCGATTTTTCGCCGCATAGTCAAATACATTATAATGCCATGTATCAGAAAATCGAATATTTTTATTTACAAAACCGAACATACCATCAGATATTGGCATTGAAAATGATTGGTTGTAAGTTTGTCGTAAAATGGAAATCAGAAGAAGTTTTATTAGAAAATTTATATGAACTATGTCCTAAAGTAATCAGAAAAACTCTTGTAAAACTCGAAGTAACACTATTAGAACAGAAACCAAACGATCCTATTGAAATAAAAAGAATGAAACTAGACACATTCTGAATGGAATTTAAGGTTCTACAAAAGTATTATAATACTTGAATTAATATTATATTCGTCACCATAGATGGACTAATTATTTCATACATATATCTGTTTCTTAACTATATGCTATATCGTTCCAATTTTAAAAAGAAAACTGTGACAGATGCATCGAAATTTTATTCGATGAAAAATTCCAAAACTTTTTCTATAAACATTCTTTGTAATAACTGATTAACTATATATAATTTCAATCTAACTATTAGAACAAACATTATATAAAATCTTTTTTAAGAGTTTGTTAACATTGAATACCCATGAAACAAAATGTTGAATTAAAATTTAAGTTTGATAAATATTATTAAACTTATTATATAATCAGGATTTTAGTATAGCAACAAAAAGAATAAGAATTAAAATTAATCAACTTTTACAAAAATTTTTCAATGATAATCTTATGAATCAAGTCAAATTCGATAAAAACAATAAAACTTTCTTGAATACTAATCAGATATATCTTTCATGATCAATATAACAATTAATGATGTAAAGAGTATCTTCTTTGATGTCATGACTTCTTTCTTTTGGACAATTGTTTTTTTCAATTATTAAGAATGTTGTGATCCTACTTTTTTCTCTTATTTATGTTTAATTCATATTGATTGGTCAAACAAGTTATAATGTGATTTTGGCTTGAAAACTGATAGCGTTTTTTCCCCATCATGATATCCAAAATATCACGAACATTGAATAAATAAAACATGTTATTGTTGAAATATAATCATAGAAAATTATGGTTTTGTAAATGAAATTCATCAATAGTGAATAAAAAGCAAATAATTTAGTCCAAAATTTATCGATTAACGTAATCTTACAAATCAGAGATGAGCGATGCGGCTAAAAAAGTGCGTCACTATTATTTCGCATGTCAAAAACTATGTTTAAGAAAACATGAACATTTTTCTAATTTCATAATACGAAATAATTTATTTTCAGTATATACGAAAAGGCCCGTTGGTTTTGATGCAAGAAGAATTTGATTCCTTCAAGATGACAGATCTTTTACCGAATAATGTATTTCTACTTAATATCGAGTTTTTGTTTTTTTGATAATTCGTGTATTTTGTGATTAGATAAATATAAACTGATTGCAATCTCAAGAATCCTATTTAAGATGAGATAGTTAAACATTTGAGAAAGAACACTAAAGATACTTGCACATGATCAATTCTGTCACTATTTTTCAGATTCCTATACAGATATAGTTTCATAATGGGTATCATCGATTTATCTTTTCTTAAATTTATATTAAATCAGTTTGATTTCAACAATTGTTTTTTTTTGTTGAATTTTTACTAGTGATTAATAATGGTAACTACTTATGTTTGTAGCATATTTTGATCATAATCTTTATATGAAAACTAGTAAACAAGTTGATGGATCAAGCTGATGAAAATTCAGAGTAGATACAACAGACGAAGCAAATTTTTAACAAAACGAGTCTGTATAAACTTCTGATTAGAATTATTCCTCAGTCTCTCTACAGTTCTGTGAAGACTTAAACTAAAAACGTAAAATATTTACGTTAAAACAATCAAGAATATTAATAATTACACGTACAAACTGTTTTTATAAAAGTTCTTATCAAAACTTTCATGAATGACAGACCTACGAGGTAGTCCATGTTCATTTAGGAATTGTATGGCTGCACTGATCATTCGTTGACCGATTAGAAATTACAATAGTTCAATCCTTGTACATTGTTTCTTTCCGTAGGAGAAATACTTCTCAAAATTTTGAAGAAGAAAAGATTTAAACTATTAGAAATTTATAATATATCGCAGAATTTTAAGTAAATATTGAAGAATCTTTCTGTTTTAATTGTGGTAGAATATATCATTAGGTTTATTTGAATTACAAATAGAATTATTTATATTGATAAAGTAACCTTTACTATTGATGATATGTTCTGACTTGAAAATATCTTTAATAATTCAATTAGAAAATTCATATTTTAATTGTCAAGTTACAAAATAATATTTACTATTCAACAATTTATTTGAAATTAAATTTTCTAGTAAAAAAAAAAAGGGTAGTTCAAATTTGAACAATTTCTAGTCATTTTTTTAAATTGTATTATTGAAAAATGTAATCTTAGCTTTAAATTTTATACCTATAATATAAAAAAAATAAAGAATAACATTATTTGAGAATTGATAATATTATTTCAACGTTTTTCTGAGAAAAAAAGCCTACTAACAGTAGATTAAACATAATATCAGTTATAAATGTTAATATTATTTGTGAACATTTATTTGTTGTTTTATTACTTGTTAAAATCTCTCTCTTATTTGTCTTGCTCTTTAATAAACGACTGTTATTCTTTGATTGCTTATAAATACTTTATAGTTAAAGTATAAATGCTGTAGAATAGCCATAAACACAGACGAACTGTTATTGTATT